GCGGGACGGTCCCTCCCCGCGCCGGGCGGAGCGAGTGCGCGTCCCGCATCTCCCACCCATAAATCCATGACAAACCCCAGTTCACCCTGAGATAGAATAGATTTATTAGCAAGAGGTAATCAGGAAACATATATTTTTACAAAAAAAATGGAAATCTTTTTTTCCCAAACAAGCTGTAAGTTGAAATAGGGCTTGAAAGAGAATTCCCATACCACGAGGTATTGCTTACAGCAAGTGTTGTGGTGAGTGGAGCATGCCTGCCACTGCCGGGGGAACCGTGTCAGGGACTGTACAATGTAAAAAACCCAGGTACTATTCACAGAATAAGCACTACATTACTATATCCCTGCTAGCGGGTGGTTAGCCAGGATTACAGTAGATGTAATAAAAACACTCGGTCATTCTAACTCTACGTCATGGTACTCAGAGTGGGCACAAGGTTACGGATCAACAGCATATCCACAGGAGCTGGGCAGGAGCCGGATGCAGCGAGGAGAGGCAAGGGGACGCTTCCATCTTCCCGACTTCAGAGGGACTGGGGCAGCAGCCAGAGCCCAACCCGTGCCTGGCCAGTGCGGGGGGTGGCACACACAGAGAGGGCAGCTCACACCAAGGGACAAACCGTGATGTGTTCCCCTCCCTCGACTTACAGTGTTTGCCATGGGATGTCACTGCTGGCACCGTCCGAGCAAGAGCTGCTCTGTGCTGCCCCAAAGCTCTGTGGGGATACAGGGCTTACCTTCCCCACAGGAACACAGAGCTCACCTGCCCCCTGGGGACACAGAGGCTCACCTGTCTGACCACCAGCCCCCTCAGGAGGAACAAATAACAAAGTAACATCATCGAGAGAACCCGGGACTCCAGCGAAGTGTCGATGCGTGAAACCTTAACCGGTGCGGGAAATCCTATGTGAGGTCTAGTGCGGCCTGGGACAGGGGTGGATTGCTCAGAGAAGCACAGACGTGGGAGTCACTCCAGGGCGTCCAACAGAACGAAGAGGTATGTACAGTATGGTATAGCAGTGTACACAAGCGGCCGCCACCGCACCGCACTCATGAAGGCAGTTTGGGCTCTATTCGCAGAGAAGCTTCGTAAAGAGTTTCCTCGTCCATCACAAACGAGTGGTCCAGCAGGTACTGCGTCACCTGGAAAAGGAGTGGAGCTGTCAGCAGGCTGGGAGAGTACAGACTCTGATAACAGGCACCCAAACCCCCGACAACAGGCACCCAGCTTCCTGATAACTGAGGCATCCAAACCCCTGGTAACTGGGGCACCCAAATCCCTGATAACAGGCACCCAAACCCCCGACAACAGGCACCCAACTTCCTGATAACTGAGGCATCCGAACCCCTGGTAACTGGAGTACCCAAATCCCTCATAAATGAGACTCCAT